AAAAATAGAAAGAATTAACTAAAGATATTGAAGAACAAAATTTAACAAAAGATGAAATTTTAGTTAAATATAATAGTGAAATTAAAATATTAACAGCAACAACTAAAGGAATTGAAGATATTTATAATGCTTTTCAAAATATAAACAAAAGACTAATACATAAAAGATGTTGGAAAACTTGTAATATTTATATTTATGGTGTTCCCAGAACAGAAAAATCATATTTAGCTCAAATATTATTTCCAGATGCATATAATAAATCAAATAAAAATGGAAAGTGGTATCCTAATTTTAATAAAAATAATGAACATGATGTAGTAATTTATAATGAATTTTCTGGAAGTGATCTTAAATATACAAAATTATTAAATTTATTAGATAGACGAGATTTTTCAGTTCAATTTAAAGGTGGTAATGTAAATTATGCGCCAAAAGTACAAGTTTTTACAGCAAATTCATCTCTAAGAGAACAATATACTTATTATAAAGATATACCGTTTGTACAATATAGTAATAGATATAAAGTAACAAACAGAAAATATTACTCAGCAGCAAGTGAACAATTTGATTATATAATTGAATATTTTAAATTTAGAGATGATAACAAACAACTATGTAATAATGAATATTTATGCTGCAAAGTTCGCAGAATTTTTCACAAAGGATCATATAATAACTTTATAAATCTTAGATTCGATATAGAATTTAATAGTGATATAACTATTGAAAAAGCTGAAGAAATTGTATATTATGATGATGGTAAAATATTATATCATGATGAAAGAAAAGAAATAATATATTTTCAAAAAAATTTTAGATCTAATATTAAACAGTATATATTATCAGATCATGAAATAATTAATGGAAATCATACAGACATAATCCAATATCTATTAATTATAAAAAAATTAATTTCAAAATATCAATCTGTAGAATATAAAGAAATTATAATTAATCATAAAAGTTTTCATGATAAAGAAAAAACAAAAATATCATCAAATATCAAAATAGATAAAAGAAAAAAGAACGAATCAGATTCATCTTTAAGTTCTTTAAAATCAAATTTTTTTATGTGATTAAAAAATTTATTTATAAAATAATAATATAATTAATATTATATAATAAAATAATATCAAAAAAAAATAATACAAATAAAAAATATCTAATATTTAATAAAAAATAATTATTATAATTTTCTAATTAAGTTTTTTAAATGTTTGTATTCTGGATTGTTTTTGTTTTTTCTATCAAACTCCTCATATATTTCTTCTTCTGCTATATCTAATTCAATTTCTTCTTGTAAGTCTTCATTAGTTATAATATCTTGTTGTTCGATATTATTTTTTTTTAATTCTTCATAATTTCTTTGGATTCTTTCTTGTTCAATATCAGCTTTTAAATTTTCAGTATTTAAATAATCTACTGCTTTAAATTTTCCTTTCTTTTTTTTTTTAGTATAATTTGAATCATTTGATTTTAAAGAACTTAAAGATGAATCTGATTCATTCTTTTTTCTTTTATATTTTTTTTGGATTCTTGCTTGTTTGATATTAGCTTTTAAATTTTCAGCATCTAAATAATCTACTACTTTAAATTTTCTTTTCTTT